TTTTGATTTTTTTTCAACCAGGAGGTCAGATGTGGAACCAAGTCAGTCCTTTCAAGTCACAAGTAATGCCGAGTTCACACTGCACGATTTTCAAACTTGTCGGATCGCCGTTGTTTTCACACTGCGTGACTATCTGGGGTAGCATTCAGTTGCTGCTGTATTCACATTGCACGATGGATCGCCGACAGGGGGTTTCACATTGCATGACTTCACAATAGGAAGAATCGCCGACAGCTCTGTCTGGTCCGCAAACTACATTTCACAACAAAACACACGCGAGAAGTGATACGGAAATAAGAGCAAGACTGTAATTATTTAAAAAATATATATATAGCCCGCAAATTGTCTGTGAGCTGATTTCCAGCTACAAGGGAAAAAATGTATGCAGATTATGCAGGAGGGAGATGCAGGGAACAGGGATTGGGTGTTCTGCAAAGAGAGTTGGAGGTAAATAATTTTGCAGTAACTGTTATGCTGATGTTGTGGCTGGTCAAGCAAATGTTTGTGCTTGTTTCTGTATGATATAATTGTTCATATATCTATTAAAATACTGATATTCTGGTCTATAACTCCTCCCCGAACTTCCCTCTGCCCTGTATCTTGGTCTCTCATTGGCTGTAGGTCATCGCCGACGTAGCTTTCAGTCAGAAATCATTGCACACAGGGTGATTGTGAATCGCCGACAGCTCCAGATATTTAGCATGCCAAATATTTCACGGGCGTCGGCGACGTGTCGGCGATTCCCTCAGATCGCGTCTTTGATAATTAACACTGCGTGATTGTCACTGGCGTGAACGAGCACCGATTTGCCTCCGATTTCGGGCATTTGTCGGCGATTTCGCAAAACCTGTCGGCGAGTGAAAAATCGTGCAGTGTGAACTCGCCATAAATGGAACGAACCACCATAGTTCGCTAACGATGCTTTTGGGAAACGCACACCTGCTCCGAACACACCTGCCTGTTTCCAAAAGGGGTTTCTGGTCATCTCCCATTGGGCAGGCCAACAGATAGTCCCGCCCCAGAACTCACATCATTGGTTGAACTAACGTTGCTGTGTTGGAACGAGTGGTATAGTTTGCTATTTTATGCCGAGTTCACACTCTGCACGGTTTTAGCATGCTAAATATCTGGAGCTGTTGGCGATTCACAAACACTCTGTGTGAAATTATTTCTGACTGAAAACTACATCGGCGATGACCTACAGCCAATGAGAGAGCAAGATACAGGGCAGAGGGAAGTTCGGGGAGGAGTTATAGACCAGAATATCAGTATTTTAATAGATATATGAACAATTATATCATAAAGAAGCACACAAACACAGCCACAATATCAGCATAACAGTTACTGCAAAATTATTTACCTCCAACTCTCTTTGCAGAACACCCAATCCCTGTTCCCTGCATCTCCCTCTTGCATAATCTGTTTTTCTTTTTCTCCTTGTAGCTGGAAATCAGCTCACAGACAATTTGCGGGCTATATATATATTTTTGAATAATTACAGTCTTGCTGGAGAACTCCGGTCTGATGCACACAGGTTCTCGCGTTATTTCCGTATCACTTCTCGCGAGTGTTTTGTTGTGAAACGTAGTTTGCGGACCAGACAGAGCTGTCGGCGATTCTTCCTATTGTGAAGTCGTGCAGTGTGAACCCCCCTGTCGCCGATCCATCGTGCAATGTGAACACAGCAGCAACTGAATGCTACCCCAGATAGTCATGCAGTGTGAAAACACTAAAATTAAAATTATTTTGTTTGGAGTTTTACGAAAGCCTTATCCAAACACTTCGCTGGATTCCAAAGGTAAACTAATTATCCCACAATCGCAGAGTAGTTAATCGCTATAAAAAATAAATTCTGAAATGTACATCACGGTGTAAAATGATCCGTAGAATCAAGGCTCAGCTCAAGAGATCGGAAATTCCACAGCAGCACAAAATGGCCATGTTAATATTCATAGCTCTAATTAGTGTCCCCGACTACACCTTTGACCTAATTTATACATTAGTGTTGCAAGTAGATACAGTGGTGAAACAGATGCTCTCTCTTGTAACTAAACACAACACACTTCAGATAAAAAGGAACTAAACTGTCCGTGATGGTAGACCCTCAAAGATTACATGGTGTTACACCGTTTTGTTTTATTAGACTATAATATAAACATTGGAAGAATGTATAAATATTGGAAGAATGTCCACGACTTTAACTGTACATTTGTATTTTACAAGTATAAATTGTAAACATGTATGCCATGCTGTGTTCAGCAATGATAAAAATTATATTAGTTTGTCAGTATAGATATATAGATAGATAGATACTGAAATTTTGATTATGCATTACTAAACAAATAATTATGTACGGCTCATCCAAGATAGGTTAAGGTCAACAGTCCAGTGTCAAGAAATAAGCTGCAAACTCTCTCCAGAGCAAAAGTGTTGCTATGCACAGTTGGTACATCTTACCTTAGAGTTCAGGCAGTACATGTTTTGATGAGAGCAAGACAATATTCGCGTCCTGTTTGGTTTGTTTGAATTGAGAGTCCCGAGAGAGAATGGGGCAGTGCCAGTGGTGCAGAGAGGTGTAGCGCACTGTATGTGCGTTGGTGTCCAGCATTAGAAAAAAGATGAGGTCCAAGAAGAGTTGAAGTGGGACACTGCTTATTATGGCTGCATCACCTGGATTTATGGACATCCCACTATGAAACATGCTCTACATTGGCTGTCGTAGTGTCCTATTTTTCTTTTCCTTTTTTTTTTGAGACTGGCCTCATTCCCAAATGCTCAAGGCGCAGACTACACAGTGTTGTGATCTTAATATACAGTGTGATTTGTATTTGAATTTTACTTAATTTATTTATATTTGTAAAAGTCGAATAAAGTAATTGAAAATCAGTATTGCGCTGTCATTTTAAACCTATTTATGGAACCTATTAATGTTAAGATTTGTCAAAATGTGCATCAGAATTACTAACTGTACATTTTGGGCAATACTTGAGGGTTTTGCTTAATAATATTACACATTTCTCTATACTGCACTACTTCTATCTGTCCTAAATTACATTTTAAAATCAAATTGAATTTCACATTTTTGCTGTGTTTATCTTTTATATCTTACAGTAGTTTAAACCTTTTTAAAGGGATTAATATTGTGAGTTTTTAACCTATAGCTATAAAATGATCAAACAACACTTTTTTTGTTTTTAACTTTTAGATGAAATATGTGGTAAGTCTATAAAATCACACTCTTTTTGTCCAATATGATTAAAGAAATACATTCATTAATTGTATTCATTTATTGTCCAGATAATGTAATTATTTGCAATATAACAACATGTAGATGACTATTACAAGGTCAACCTCACAACAGGGTAGCTGTGACCCATTTGCAATATAACTGTACTATACAATACAAAACATTGTAATGTATAATATTTAATGTTCACAACCTCTTGTTTTTACAAAAAAAAAGTTTTTCAAGAATAAATGGCATAATGCTATTTCAGAGAGCTTTCCAATCAACTGGCTTCTTTCCTGATGCTTTAAGCAAAATGTTAGTTTTAGAGAAGTGCCTAGATCCAGAGAAGCCTAAATGTGCCGAGTATGGTGATGGATGTGAAGTCTCAAGGACATGATGACGTTTCTGGAAAAGAAAAAAAACAGCCAGTCATATATTTCTTTCTATTGTATCATAATGTGTTTTAAAGGTGCATTTTTAGTTGCAATATTCACAGTAACCCTGATTATTCATACCACTAGCAAAAGTGTCCAGTAACAGTAACATTCTGCAGGTCAAAAACTCATTGGCCTTTACGAGACAACTACTCCATGTAACATAAAACCGCTTTAATGTTTTATTGAGTGTACATGATTTTTTACATACTTTTTCAAAAGTTCTGTTTATCACTTTATGTGTAAACTTTGTTTAAAAAATGCTAAGTGCACTTTTATTCCTGATAAATATATTGACATTTCATAATTCTGTCTACATTAACTTACTCTGTCGATCACTCTGCCTTTCCTCTGAGCATAAGAGCCCCAAAGCAGAAAGACCAAGCCATTGAGATTCCTGCTGAGCCACAGGACCACAGCATCTGTGAAGATCTCCCAGCCTTGACCCTCATGAGAGGTGGGTTGATGAGCCCTCACTGTCAACACAGAATTCAGCAGCAGAACACCTGACAATGGAAAGAACATTGACATTAAAAATAAAATCTGTAGCTTTTAAATTATAACTGGTAACACCTTGATGGGTCACTCATATACAGGCACATACACAACAGTTCAAAAGTTTGGGGTCAGTAAGATGTTAAAATGTTTTTGAAAGAAGTCCTTTATGCTCAAAGCAGTGCTCTATGCTTACTTTTTTTTTTAGGAGCACAGTCAAACAATTCAGGAGCACCTTCTGATTAATATTATGAGGTGATATTTGACTCCTTAAAGTGATTGACAGGGGCATTTTTTTTATTTTTGTAAGGGCATTTTTTCTAATTTTATTAAAAGTGTCATCTTTTATATCAAGTTAAAAAATGTATATTTATAAGCTTTTTAAAATTTCGAATTAAAACAGTAGAATAAGAAGAATACGATACTGATCAAATGAAATCAGTATTAACAAAATTAATTTGCAATACAGAGGTAGATTTAATAATAGAAAATGATATCTATTTAATCATATAAATTATTTATAATGATGAACCTTTAAAGGGGTCGTATGATGCTGCTAAAAAGAACATTATTTTGTGTATTTGGTGTACTAAAATGTGTTTATATGGTTTAAAGTTAAAAAAACACATTTATTTTCCACATACTGTACATTATTGTTGCTCCTCTATGCCCCGCCTTTCTGAAACGCGTCGATTTTTACAAAGCTCATCGGTCTGAAAAGCGAGGTGTTCTCTGATTGGCCAGCTATCCAGTGCGTTGTGATTGGCTGAATACCTCAAGCGTGTGACGGAAATGTTACACCCCTTACCATATTGTGATGCCCTGTCCGGCCGGAGCGTAACATTAAACCATGTCTGCATTTGTGATTGGAGAAATGACAAACATCAAGTGCTACTCTACACTGCTCAAAACTCACGTTTGAATCATCAGTGGCAAATTCTTTAAATATAAAAAACGTACTTACAGTCTGTGAGTCAGAATAGCCAGCATTGTAGTCTACTCTACCAGGATCAGGAAACAGTCCTCCATAAAATGTGCTGCACACATCTGAATATTTAAGTTAAACTGTTCTGGAACAGTGTTGTAAATACAACTTAACCACTGATTTCTAGTCGTGTCCTCTTTTGGAAGGCCAAACAAAGTAGTTTCGCTTTCACAACGAAAAAGCGTCACACACCGCGGCCTTGAGTGAGCGGAGGCCGGAGGCCTAGAGTGAGCCGTGGCCTAGAGTATGCGGAGGCCGGCTTGAGTGAGCAGAGGCGGGCGGGCTTGAGAACGGCGCGGCCGGCGGATTCGACGAAGGAGCGTCCGGCGGGCTTGCGGCAACTACATGTGACGACCCCGGGCTGGACTCCGGTGATTCCTCAGCGAGCAGCACGGATCAGCTCCAGGCATGACAAAGCATATATTGTCCTCTTTTGGAAGGCCGAACAAAGTAGTTTCGCTTTCACAACGAAACACAGCGCCTTCACGACATGGCGGCGGCGGCAACAACAATACTACAGCGAGAATAAAAGTTACGCCTTCTTTCTTTGCGTGAACATTTGGGCGGCGTTATGCAAATCTTCCCACATAGTGACGTAGATATGTGGGGGCGTGTTAGAACGAGCCGTTTTAGGTAGGCGTGGTTGACTCTTAACTTTTATAAAGAATATCTCTTTGGATTTGAGACTTTAGTCTTTGCAACTTTACAGATCTTCTTTATGCACCAAGAGCTTGTAACACTCAAAAGAGAAAGGAAAAATTGAAATCGCATCATATGACCCCTTTAAAAACGAAACTAAAACTGTCAGTAGGTGGCAGCAAGTTACTGATTTTATCACTGAATCATTCAGCGCAAACACAAATATACTGATCGGGTCAGTAGCACTGGTGCTCCTAAATATTTTTTCATAGTCGCACGCAGTAGTTTTCACACTGTGTGCATTTATTTGATCAAAAGTACAATAAATAGATATACTGTGCAATATTATTACAATTACAACTATTTTCTATTTTAATATATTTTAAAATTACAAATTAAAAAATGTTCAGCAGCCATTACTCCAGTTTTCAGTGTTATATAATCCTTCAGAAATCATTCAAATATGCTGATTTAATGCTCCAGAATAATTTCTTATTATCAGTGTTATAGAGCTACAGTGTGACAGCCCTTTTTCAAAATTCTTGAAAATTCAAAAGAACAACGTTTATGTGTTATTACAACATTTATATGTTATTTATTGTAATATTATAAATGTCTTTTAAAAAGTATTAATATCTTTAAAAAAAAAAATTTTAACTACCCTGTTTAGCCCATTCTGTGAGGTCTCCATGACCTGGGTGCCCGAAGCCAACAATATCTTCCTTCAACTCCGTAAATATGTTTTCCAAACTGAAATAAGTGAAGCAGGTCAACATACAGAGTAGTCATTAGAGTATTATTACAATTACAACTATTTTCTATTTTAATATATTTTAAAATTACAAATTAAAAAATGTTCAGCAGCCATTACTCCAGTTTTCAGTGTTATATAATCCTTCAGAAATCATTCAAATATGCTGATTTAATGCTCCAGAATAATTTCTTATTATCAGTGTTATAGAGCTATAGTGTGACAGCCCTTTTTCAAAATTCTTGAAAATTCAAAAGAACAACGTTTATGTGTTATTACAACATTTATATGTTATTTATTGTAATATTATAAATGTCTTTTAAAAAGTATTAATATCTTTAAAAAAAAAAATTTTAACTACCCTGTTTAGCCCATTCTGTGAGGTCTCCATGACCTGGGTGCCCGAAGCCAACAATATCTTCCTTCAACTCCGTAAATATGTTTTCCAAACTGAAATAAGTGAAGCAGGTCAACATACAGAGTAGTCATTAGAGATGTACTGTAATATATCACTGTGGTGAGATGATCAGTATAGTTATTCTCACAGTTCAGTACAATGTGGTACCTAGGAGGAGGAGGTTTAGGCCTCAGCACACTGAAGGCCAAACCATGAGCCTGACCTGGATGGTGATAGGGGTCTTGCCCAAGAATGACCACTTTTACCTGTCAACACAAACACAACCTGTAGCCTATTTAAATGCTCTGATCCTTTCCTTTTTTATACTCTATATTAAGGAACTTACATCTTCAATTGCACACAAAGTTGTGCAATAAAACACCTGCTCAGGCCTGGGATAAACAGTAAAGCATTTCCTCTCCATTGTAACAAAAGACATGAGCTGAAAAAATAAACCAATACAGGAACAAGTTTTTTTTTCCCTTCATCTTTTCATTGTCATTTTGGTGATGTCTCATACTAAGTATCACTTACTTTTGTAAAATAAGGTTTTGTAAATTCAGTCCCGATTTGTCTTCGCCAGCTTTCACCAACGGGTACAGGTACATTTCTGCTGGCCAGTCGTTCCAGTGCGGCGCGTCTGTTCTGCTCTATCTGATGCAGCTGTTCCTCACTGAGCTGCATGTTCTCACCACTAACTTGCTCTTTGCAGCATGCATTGTCATTTAAGCAAAGAAATGATAGGAATAGCATACACTTAGATACAGGACTGTTTATGAATTGACTATATTAGGTATGGCACACAATGAATGAACAGGAAATGCAGGAAAAATTTGAATATATTCTTTTTTACAATAATTACCTAAAATAGTCCGATAAATGTAGCTTATTCAGACACTTAACCTACCTTTTGACATGTCCAAAGTAAGACAAGTTGTGTAAAGTAAGACAGTGTTGTTGTTGTTGTTTCTCAGACCCCTTCACAAATACTGCTGCATCACCGTTATTCTACCATGTCATGCAAATGCAGGTTCACTCGATAATTTGCAAAACTGAAAGCGAAACTTCAACTCTAAGCCATGTTTCCTAAACCATGACTGTAACTGTTAACCAGAGACATAACATGATCTTGTGTTGATTAAATATGACTAAATTTCAAATCTGATGGTATTTCTTTGTGAATTTTTTTTAGCTACAGCTATTATTTAAAAAAAGGTAAAAAAAATATTTAAAAAAAAAACATTATTTATTTAAAAAGCATTAACATTTCTAACATATTAACATTACAAGGGCAAGGCATTGCTTGGTACAGAAAAATACATTTAATTCACCTTTGACCCTAGTTTGAACTTTTTGACTTGAAGGCCCCCATTGTCCAGGACAATGTTCCTTCCATGAATGCCACACGAAACATAAACACGACACCTGGTGGCCAAGATTGGTACCACATGACAATGTTAAATGGCCATATATACAGGTGCATCTCAATAAATTAGAATGTCATGGAAAAGTTCATTTATTTCAGTAATTCAACTCAAATTGTGAAACTTGTGTATTAAATCAATTCAATGCACACATTGATTTACAGTAAATGAACATACTTTCCAGAAGTCCAACAATTCACTAAAAATGTTTTTTTTATTGGTCTAATGAAGTATTCTAATTTGTTGAGATAGTGAATTGGTGGGTTTTTGTTAAATGTGAGCCAAAATCATCACAATTAAAAGAACCAAAGACTTAAACTACTTCAGTCTGTGTGCATTGAATTTATTTAATACACAAGTTTCACAATTTGAGTTGAATTACTGTAAATATTAACTTTTCCACGACATTCTAATTTATTGAGATGCACCTATGTGTGTGTATATATATATATATATATATATATAATTTTTTGTGTTGCCTCTTGCATAGAAAATGTTTTAAATTGAGAAAAAAATGGAAGACTTTTTTGGAGGAATAAAGTTCAAAGAGAAATATAGAACAAAATTAGGACACTTTTTTTCACACACCTTGAAATGTTTTTGTTCATGTTGCGATTCAGGGCTTCTGTACAGAACTGTGTGTTCTTTAATAAAAACAATAGTTATTGAGGGAAATTAAAAATAAATATGTTTTCATTTTACATATTGATGTTATGTGTTTTTACCATTTTTATCTAGATTTGAGTTATTATTTAGTTATTTGAAAATATTAATTTGAATACTTTTAAGTCACCCTGCAGCTCCCTTAGTAGTGTTCCTTGGCTCCATTTATCAACTCATTTATCTCTATGCTGTTTGAACATAAAATAACTAGTGTGAAGTGTGAATACATCTGAATAACCTGTTTGTATGAATAAACATTTTTAAAAATCTGATTTGAATTATTTAGTTAATTATTGCTACCCAGAAAAATAGAACACAAAAAGTGTGTTTATTATTCATTCATTCAAAAGAGGATGTAGGGGGAAAAGTACATAGTTCATGAAATCCGATAGTTTCCCCTTTTCTTAACGTCCCTAATACTTCTGTCTAACAAACTTTTCGAATGGTAATGAATAAGATTTTATGAAAGAATCCCACACATTCCCATGACCTCGATTTCTTGTTTTTTTTTGTTGTTTAGGGACAACATGATGCCGTGTGGATTGTACTCTAGAGGACTGTGTGAGTCCAAGCCCACTCTTAGTTTACCATCTTTGAGGCTGTGTTAATGTAATCCGAGATGCACGCCGGTCTAACCCGTTCTATAGCCAAGTACACTACTGTTGTAGTTTAGCATTCCATTATAGCCCAGTGAAATGAGTGCATTGAAAAGATCGTCGCAAGTGGCTTACAAACGCTGGAAAGACACAAATATCAGGTAATATATGTGTGTTTTGGTGTTTACTTTTAAAATCTGTTTAAAAATGTTGTGGCTGGTAGGTATGATTTACACTGCCGTTCAAAAGTTTGGGATCAGTAAGATTTTTAATGTTTTTTAAAGAGGTTTCTCATGCTCATCAAGGCTGTATCTATTTGATAGAAAATACAGAAAAAACTGTAATTTAGTGAAATATCATTGCAATTTAAAATAACAGTTTTCTATTTTAATATACTTTAAAATATAATTTATTCCTGTGAAGCAAAGTCCAGTCTTCAGTTTCACATGATCCTTCAGAAATCATTCTAATATGCTGATTTATAATCAATGTTGGAAACAGTTGTGCTGCTCAATATTTTTTGGGACCTGTGATACTTTTTTCAGGATTGTTTGATAAATAGAAAGGTTAAAAGAACAATGTTTATTCAAAATAGAAATGTTGTTTTACAATACACACTACTATTCAAAAGTTTGGGGTTCTTTTTTTAAAGAAATTAATACTTTTATTCAGCAAGGATGTGTTAAATGCATAAAAAGTGATAGTAAAGACTTATATTGTTAGAAAAGATTCCATTTTGAATAAATGCTGTTCTTTTTAACTTTTTATTCATCAAAGAATCAAAGAGAACAGTACCACAGGTTCCCAAAAAATATTAAGCAGCACGACAGTTTCAACACTGATAATAAATCCGCATATTAGAATGATTTCTGAAGGATCATGACACTGAAGACTGGAGTAATGAAAATTCAGCGCTGCATCACAGAAATAAATTCTATTTTAATGTATATTAAAATAGGATACCACTATTAGAAATTGCAATAATATTTCACAATATTACTGTTTTTTTCTGTATTTTTGATCAAAGAAATACAGCCTTGATAAGAGACTGTATTAAAAAAAAACGTTGCAAATCTTACTGATCCCAAAATTTTGACCGGCAGTGCACAAGAAGGGCTAGGGCCTATATTTGAGACCCGTGCAGGGCTTTAGTCCACTTCATCCAACGCTGTTTTGTTCTCATCTGTGAGCATGCTCTTGATATATGTATTTTAGCTGTGTAAATGTATAATTGCCTTTTCATTCTTTTTTTCATTTTATTTAAATTTGTTGTTAAAACAACTAAAAATAAATGTATTTTAAAGTTTAGAATTAGACAGCACACAGGCTTACGCTGAAAACAACAAAATGGAACATCAAGGTTGATCTAGGAAAATGTGTGCAAATGTATAGGGCCCATTCCTATATTTTGCCTGGGGCCCCCAATTCACTAAATCCGCCCCTGTACTTCCTTATGGGACTTTTTCATGTTCTAGATTTGAAACTTGCTTTATCTGTGGCCGATTGTAGTTTTGGCCATTGCTTTTACATCACCATGTGTTAAAAACATACAATTATCTGTATCTATATATGCTAGAGTTCAAAAGTTTGGGGTCAGTAAGATTTTTGCAAAAGTCACAGTAAAAATGAATTGATGTTACAAAATGTATATTTCAAATAAACGCTGTTTTTAAGCTATCTATTTATCATAGAATCCTGAAAGAAATGTATCACGGTTTCCACAAGAATATAAAGCAGCACAACTGTTTTCAACATGAATTATAATAAGAAATGTTTTTTGAGCGGCAAATTAGAATACACAAATGATTTCTGAAGGGTCAAGTGACACTGAAGACTGGAGTAATGGGTGCTGAAAATTCTGCTTTGCCATCACAGGAATGAATTAAAATGCAAATTATATTAAAATAGAAAATATTTATTTTAAATGGTAATAATATTTCACAATATTGCTGTTTTTAATGTATTTTGATCAAATAAATGTAGCCTTGGTGAGCAAAAGAGACCTCTTCAAAAACATTGCAACGACCCCATACTTATATTCTCTATTTTTATATAATATTTTATGTTTTATTTGATAGATTTTTCATATATTTTAATTCCTTCCCTTACAGAGTGACATTATATACTGAATTCCTCCCGATGAAATCCAGAGGGATATCCATAATCCTTTTAGGGGTAATTCAGATGAATGTTTTGCTCACATTTTTCACAATGCAATTTTTCAGTATACTAAAAAATTTTTACCGAGATAGTTGCTTGATTGTGTAATTGACTGAAGCAATGTGTACATTAGGTTAAATATAACGTAAACATGCCGTGATGATAATTAATTAAAAAAAGAAAAGAAATAAATCTTCTGTTCTAATAGGTGTTCTGGGCCTTGGGTGCTGTATTTGAAGTGTTACTGGCTATGGTGGTCATGCCCACATTAGGCTGGAAATGGCTGCTAGCTTTCTCCACCCTTCCTTTAGTTGTCTTTGCTGCCTCCTGCTGTGTATGTATGGCTGTCACAATATTTCAACTGTTACTAGACACAAGGCTCATGTTTAGACGCCTTAAATTCAGATAGAATTCATATTAAGTCTACTGTCTGATTGTGAATTGTGGGCATTTGTCTGTAGTGGTTACCTGAGAGTGCTAGATTTGATGTACTGAGAGGCAGAGAAGACAAGGCCCTGGACACTTTGAAATGTATAGCAGCAGCTAATGGGAGCTCTGTGCCTGCTGGAAGACTTATAGCCAACACACAGGTATGTGGGGCTACCAGTCCTAAATCTTTCCTCAAAATCTCCCCCTCACACATTATTGAAGAATTTCTCATAAACTAGACTAGCAAATGATTTGTGTTTATATGTTCTAGACTGATCGTGGGAGGATTAGAGATCTTTTTATTCCAGAATACCGAAAAACAACACTCTTAGTGTGGTTTATCTGGTATGCAGATTGTTAAAAATGGTCAAATCCTTCCATATAAAATTTAAAAAACATAAAACTAAAAACTCGCCTACTTTGTTTGTTTTACACACACAGGTTTTGTAATGCTTTTTCATATTATGGTATTGTGCTGCTGACCACTGAGCTGTTCCAAGCAGGATCTGCGTGTAGTGGTGAGTGGTTTGTAAGTACTTTTTGTGACCAAGCTCATCATAAAATGTAGATTTTGACACACTTTTGTATTTAACTTGAACTACGACCACAAATTTGAACTACGCAACTGTTCAAAAGTTTGGGGTCGGTAAAATTGTGTATGTATTTGAAAGAAGCCTCTTATACTCACCAAGGCTGGATTTATTTGGTGAAAAATATAGTAAAAACAGTAATATTGTGAAATATTAGTACAATTTTAAATAAAAATGTTCTATTTTAAAGTGTAATTTATTCCTGTGATGTCAAAGCTGAATTTCCAGCAAATATATGTATATCCTTTAAGTAAATCCTTTACTGTCACTTTGGACTACTGACCCCAAACTTTTGAAGATTAGTGTAAGATTTTCTGTACTCATCATAGAAAGTAATATCTTTTTAATATAGCTAGCACATGCAACAGGTTTTGAATAGTAATGAACGTCATTTCTTGAATAATTTACCATAAAATTAAAACACGTTAAGCACAATCTGTTGTGAATTTCAGTAAAAATGTGTCTAATTCCAGCCACCGACAACTCAAATATGGAACCTCGGTGCAGTTTGGAGTGCAATTATCTGACTTTTCATGATTATGTGGACCTTTTGTGGACCACCTTAGCAGAATTTCCAGGTGACGTGACACCATAAGTCATTCTCTCCTCTCATGTTGTTTTTAGTTAATCAACTTAAATGCAAACATTGTTATATGATCTACATATAAACTAATAGACAACTTTGTAATTTGTGTCTTGATGTCAGAACAGGTATTCTGGTGACCCTGTGGATGATTGATCGAATTGGCAGGAGAAAAAGCATGGCAGTTTGTTTTTTATTGTTCTCTGTGTCGATTTTGCCACTGTATGCCTGCACACAAAGGTAAATTGATGCAAAAAAAACAACTCTGTAATTGCAAAAGTAAGAAAAAGAAAGGCCTAAATATTTTTAAGTCACTGTAAGTGACATGTTTTTCTTTACTTAACTATTTCCAGGACACTTCTCACAGTCTTTATTTTCATTGCTCGAGCCTGTATAACAGGGGGCTGGCAGGTTGCATATGTTTATACACCTGAGGTGAGGCTTCATTGTAAAGCACCTAATTATGCTCAGTAGACTTTTCATTTAAAATGCAATTTCCTTTCATTCTTGTCTTGGCCTCCTCAGGTTTTCCCCACAGCAACCAGAGCTATTGGTATTGGTACAGGCAGTGGGATGGCTCGTGTTGGAGCTCTCATCACACCATTTATTGCTCAGGTAAAGCATTCTTCTGGTTTCATAAGAAGATGAAGGTGTATTGAACGTGTACTGATGCTTTCCTGTATGTGCGTTTGTGTCTGTCCCCCTTCAGGTCCTTCTGAAGTCATCCGTTTACCTGACTCTGTCTGTGTATTTAATATGTTGCTTGCTGGGCACAGTGGCATCCTGGTTTTTGCCCATGGAAACAACAGGGCGGAGCCTTCAGGAATCAATGCAAAGCACCATGGAACAAAAAAACTTGGAAAGGCCGCATGGCTCTGAAACAACCGAGTCTTCCAGCAATACATGTCCTTAACAGCATATGGAAAACTGAATCTGTGAAATCTCAGGATTAATAGTGGAAAAGGCCATAATGCAATCATTTTGCCGTAGACTAAATGTTATGTAAATTCATTCTAAATTCAAGATTTTTAAATAAATAGTAATACATTTCTATGTATAGATTATGCTAAAAAAAATCAGATTTTGGTCTTGTTTCTTTAGAAATGTTACATTAAGCTGTTTATGATGCCAAGAACTTTTCAAACTATTTTGTTGGGTCTTTAGTTACACAAGTGTCAATTTGTCTCCTATTTTGATGCTTTTCAAATGGACTCTACAGTACATGTACGCCTGCTTAGGTGCCACACAAGCGTCTGGTGTAGTAGAGGCCCAAAAGCAAACTATGGCAGTAAACACTTTCTGACATATTTGTCGATCACAGCAAATTATATGATCGTAAACATAATAATAATTTATATTAAAGTTTTTACAGGTTTCAGAAGCTCCAAATACATTTAGCATAAACGTGGATTGTATCAATATTGCTTTGCCCTGTTGTGTGACGTTCCTCAAGATTTAATTTTGTGCTTTATTTTCTCACAATTTCCATACACCAACAGACTTCCATTATTTGCTACTCTGGTTGACTGCAGGGGGAGGGACATTTTTGTTCTAGAGAGAATTTGATTGGGCAAATATTTGTGTAGGCTATTGCATGATGAGTCATCGATATTTTCAGTATTTTTCAGTAAAAATCAGCATAGCCTACTATAGAATAAGCCCACATTCATTGAAAATAATTTAAAATGTATATGTCTGCTAAATTCTTTAAATTCAGTGGAGGGCTATAACTAATGCAGATGGACTTGGGTTACACAAATGCTTGTTTTTTTTCATGAGGTATTTTGGGGTATGCAATTTGCATGACAAAACACACTCCGCTCCATTTTTGGTTGCTGAACCATACAAATTTCTCGTCGTCATAGGGAGGAAAAATCAGTCGATCAAGCATTACGTTAGTTTCGAGATAGTCGACATCATAACGGCTCGAGTAGTATATGTGGATGATTGGGTGTTGAGTCTGCATAGGATGCACTGTTGTCAGGGAGAAGTGCAAGTCACCTTCACGCGGTTGGCCCAGAAGCCCATATCTAACGCAGGTTTTTTAATTCAGTGGAGGGCTATAACTAATGCAGATGGACTTGGGTTACACAAATGCTTGTTTTTTTTCATGAGGTATTTTGGGGTATGCAATTTGCATGACAAAACACACTCAGCTCCATTTTTGGTTGCTGAACCATACAAATTTCTCGTCGTCATAGGGAGGAAAAATCAGTCGATCAAGCATTACGTTAGTTTCGAGATAGTCGACATCATAACGGCTCGAGTAGTATATGTGGATGATTGGGTGTTGAGTCTGCATAGGATGCACTGTTGTCAGGGAGAAGTGCAAGTCACCTTCACGCGGTTGGCCCAGAAGCCCATATCTAACGCAGGCGATCACAGAACTACACCAACCACGGACGGCGGTCCCGAAACAAGGTCCATTATGTCTGGCCACTAAATCAACGCTCCAGCCGGGAAGATAGAGCACAGACCGTTGTTTATTGGCATCGTTAACGTGAATGAGAATTTGCGGAATCGCCGAGTTGGATGACAAAGCCGATGATGGGTTTATCGCTACGCTAAATAGATTGAATGCGCCTCTGAATGCATTAACCCCGTCACTGGCGGGTCCAGAACAGGATATCTCGGACCGGAGCGCCTGTGAGGTTTCCCTGAACGCTTTGCAGCACAGCCATGGCTCTGGTGACTCTGCAGCGCTCCCCTACACCCAGCGCCGCATCCTCAGCCAGCACCAACGCGGGGGAGGTGAGTGGAGGCTGACCGGCGGAGGAAATGCCGGGGATGCATGTGTAAATAGCGCCTAAACTGCTAATATTAGCCGGGCCTGTTGCTCGGGGATCATTTCTCCTTTCTAATGATCTGCAAATGTGATACTACAAGAAGTCACCGAGTTCAACCTGCTCTGTAGACGAGCGCATGCTGAAGTTTTCACATTAGCGAGGAGGGGGTTGTTTTTAGGCAGTGTGGATGATGATGGGGATTAACTTGACTTGCCCAAACAAAACAAAGCAAAGCATGCCAGTGCTGAATTATGCTTCTCTTGTTGAAATTGTGAAATATATTTGTGTATGTGGGTGAAATTTATGACAATTATTTTCCTTTAGTGACCGTGTGCATGGTGCAGTTGTTGTTTCACTGTTTAACCTACCCTACATTCAATAACATTACCTTATTTGGGTGTGTTGGGGATAAAGTGGTAATAAATCGGCTGCCTTGTATATACTGAACGCAGTATCAATTCAGCCATACCACAAATATGCTTTACACCAGTTTCTTAGTAATATGATACTTCTGAGTTGTGACCAATTGAGCGTTTGGCAGTTCTCACTAAGTACGATTCGTGAACGAACCTCATTATCATTTGATCAATGAGTCGAATCTTTTCAAAGAATCGGTTGAACTGATTCATAAAACCTGTCTACAATTGAACTGAATGTGTCAGATTGGTTTACGAGTAAACGCCTCATTTAACCGAGAACTCTCTGTTCTGGCATGTGTCTCTGATAATGAGTTTAAAGTTATGTAATATTAAGTGCATTTGGAATATGAATGAAATAGCAAAAAGTTGTGTTACTTTGTTTACCGTGAAGTAATGTGGAGAATTAAACATATTGGAATGTTTACGATTTTGAGGGTTTTATTATCAGCACACAAACGATAATAAATCAGTTTTAATCAATTCGATTTTCTTAAGCTCATGCAAAAACATTTTTCAGGGAAGAGAGGTTATTTACGTTTCATACAGTTTAATATGAATATAAATTATTACTAGTTTCTAAATATAAATTTAGTTTCACTTGACTTAACAGGGGCACATTAAAAATAAATAAGACCAGACTAAATTACCCCATGACCTTTTTTTTTTTTGGAACCGGTTCTTTCAAACAAATTCTTCGAAAGAACCGATTCTTCCCCTCAGCACACTCACTGCAATGATGTCATTGAATAGATACTCTGCCTGGTGACTGACCAATCATGAGACCCAGAATATTGTCATGATTTTGCTGTTCAGGCTTCTTTGAGACAGCCCGCTAATGAGCTAGCCTACTGTAGCATAAGCCCACAGTAATGGCCATCCCTGAGGCTTTCATTTTTTTATAATGTGCCCTAAATCTATCCAAACTGTTTTGTTTTGCTTAAACATAAAGCATTTCTGTGTACTATTTAAAGAATTCCGTTTAAGGCTTACATTTCTGTACCCATCTAATCAAACGACTTTGTATATCTAAACCATAAATAGAGGCATTCAGAATTGATTGATATATGCAAAGTAATTTCAGACATACAGTATAGGGCCCTTTGTAATTCCACTTCTGCTGTTTTATTTGTCAGGATATAGGCAGTGATGATGATCGAAAGGCAAACCTAAGGTCGGTGCTATTTTTATTCATCTTATTTAATCCATTCATCCTTTTTTAACTATGATAATTCATCTTAATTCTGGAGTGTCTTCTTAATTGTATGTGTGGCCTATTTCAGCCTGAGTGAAAGTTTCTTCATGGTAAAAGGGGCAGCTCTGTTTTTACAGCAAGGCAGCAGTGCACAAGGGCCCAGAACACCCACCCATCATAAAAATGCAGGTAAACCACAACAAGGTCAGAACCATGATCAATTTCATGTGTGAAGAATTTGACAAATTAAATAATTAAGGATTTAAGGGAATGGAATTAATGAAAAGTATTTTGCATCACTGGATATTACTGTCAGTTGTTTAACATTTCTATCATAAAACAGTTGTCAAATATTAAATGTTTGGCTGCTTTCATCTTACCTCGCGCTATGTCACAGTTAAAAGTGAAGTTTTTGGTTTCTGTGAACCGTAAAGCCTTCTTTTTTTTATTTGATTGGCCATCTAGATGTTGATGAGGCAAAACAGCTTGAAAATGTAACTTTTAAAGGTTTTTGTCATTATAACAACAAATATATCAGTGCGTAATGCAGTGCAGCAGAACATCATCAAGATGATAAAATATTGGTGTGAGCAATTTGGTCATTTCTGATTATTGGGAGGAAGTATGGTGGTCACAGCCCTGAACCACAACAGTAAAAGTGGATTTTCCATTAACAACTAATGCTACATTGTTATTGTTGATGAAAATAGTGGTTTATTGTCCATAAAACTCAGATGTTTGTTGTTGTTGTTATTGTTAAAGGGGATCTACCACAACATCTACAAGTAATGATAAACACCCTCCGTGCCGAGGACAGAATTAAATTAGTAAGTGACGTACATTGTGTACAATGTAGGAATGGCTACTCCTCACAGTGTGCATACACCAACGTACACCATCTCCATCAACAGGTTGTTAGGTTAGAAAGCGGTTGGACGGACCATGTGCGATACATGGTGGTTGTCTACACAAATGGGCGTCAAGACACTGAAGAAAACATACTGCTTGGGATGGATTTTACAGATAATGACAGGTAGGAATCAATCCGGTCATGATCTGAATGCATTCTTTATGCTACACTTATTGGTAGACACTAATGTTTGTTTGTTTGTTTGTCATAGTAAAAGTTGCTCTATTGGGATGACTCTTCCACTTTGGAGTGATACCAAGATTCACTTGGATGGAGATGGGTAAATATCTTAGTTCAAAAAACCCTATCCTTAATTAACTCATAGGGATTTTCCTGGCTCATTTTTACTTTGTTTCAATAAATGTTTTTGGTTTTAGTATCTCAGTTACTTGATTGCTTGCGCATACCATACACATAAAAATGCACCATCTATCTTTGGTCACATATGTGTGACCCTGGACCACAAAACCAGTCATAAGAATCAGGGTATCTTCCGTCCAATCAATTTTTGTTTTAATATTGAAATCTGAAAAATGAAAAACGGCACATATTTCGTTTTTCAATTATTCAAACAAAACGAAAAATCAAGAATCCGGCTTAATTTTTCGTTTTTACATTCAGGGATAGAAAACGAATAAACAACTTGAATATTCGATCTCT